TTGTAGCTCTAGCTTCGCCAGACTTGTTATTACATGGATCTCACAACTTTTTACGGTAGAAGAACTGAGTTGCGAGACTTGGTTTTTTTACATGTTGTGTTTTTGATGGCATCTCATTTCTTTTTATAGATAAGCTAGTCCTACTTATTTTACCTTTCCGGTACCTTCTACTTCTTGAATCCCAACAACGTACCTATCTACACCTGTTATACATATACAAGTAAACTGATTCATTCACTGTAAATGTAACTTTGTAAATCTATATATTTATATGGGATTATAAAGTTATTTATGCAGTTAGTGTTTTCTAGAAAACTGTACTGAAATATTCTAATGAAATATTATAATTCTTAAACTACTGGTTCAAATTGAATGAAATTTGAAATATAATTTTTTTATGCAATGCCTACTACTGAAACAATAAATAAATTCAAGCTTCTAGTTTTATTGACTACGAAGTTATAGGGGGTCGAAAATGGTCCGAATTGCTTTGAGAAAAGTATGGTACGGCCGTGCCGCTTTTTTGCTCGACTTGGCGGGGGCACTGCCGTGCCCCCAGATTACTAAGTTACATTTGCAGGGAATGAATCAGTGTACCTATATATGTATAATTTAATGGAATAAAAGGTGTAGACAGATACTTTGTTGGTAATCAAGAAGTGAAATGTAACTGAAGGAAAAAAAAGGAAGGACTATCTGCAAAAAGAAATGAGATGCCATTAAAAATATAACTTGTAAAAAAAACCAAGTCTCGCAACTCAGTTCTTCTATCGTAAAATTTTGTGAGATCCATGTAATACCAAGTCAAATCGTTCTAAGGTCCTTCTGTCTTAAGTTATTACGTAATTAGGTAACATAACAACATCTTGTGACCATATCAATATTAAAAATATTTTATGTTTTAAATAAATAGATTGACTTGGGCCATCACATGAAGCACGCACTAAGCAATCGAATTTAATATAATAAGTATTACTTGTGAGATACATTGTGTTTTCATGTACACCAGATGGCATCGAGATGTTGTAGATACCATCCACACCATCTGGATGCTTGGCGGTCCACCACTGTACGTTTTACTAGGAGTTTTCTTCTGCGTACGACCTCTCTGTGGAATAGTTTGCCACCGGCGATTTTTCCGGACCGATACGACCTAGGGACCTTCAAGAAAAGAGCTTACTCTTTTCTAAAAGGCCGGCAACGCACCTGCAATTCCCCTGGTGTTGCAGTTGTTCATGGACGCCGGTAGTCACTTTTAACATCAGGTGAACCGTGTCCTCGCTTGCCCCCTCTCCTATAAAATATTTTTTTTAATAATTTCCTACTTTGTCAGCGTAGGTAAAAAAACACTACGTAATTCCAATCACCCACCATATTGAGTGCTTACTGTACGTATTTTTGTGATTTTATGTCCTCTTATTTCGTGACTCGGCTATAACTTTGAACTGGTTCTTCTATTAGACCTTGGCCCAGCACTTATCATCAGTGGGACTGTGAGTTTAAAATTCAAATAAATGCGTGCCACAGTCAAATAGTTGTTAAAGATGGGACGAAGATTGGTTTGTGGTCAATGCCTGCCATGGAGAAGTCAACATCCAGATATTAATCATTCCTCTTGTTGAGTAAGTGTCCTTTAAATCTTGTGACAAATATAAAAAAAAAACATTGCGGTGATCTAATGTCGCACAAGTCTTGTAATTTAAAGGCGTTGTTAATTGAATCTTCTAACTGTGTGAGTCACACAACCATCACTTTATCGTTTAAATTTTAACCTGAAAAAATCGTGACTACTCTCGTGAGTAATATTCTGGATCACTACTGTTATGGTTTTAAACAAGCCAGCTCATAGATTCATTCGTTTTTACATGTGAAGGTTCTCCTGCGGTTGCGCGAAATTCTTTTTTTTTTTTGTTACGACTATAATGTATTAAGCGTCCTGTTGTGATTATGATGCATCACAGGGACACGTTACAAGGAGCATGCCAATTTTATTTAAAACATACTTCTCAAATAAATGACAATGTGTTATAAAAAAAACTTCACCTCAGTGTCAATTAGCGACATTAGGTGACCGAAAGATTTTTTTATTTTTGTTTAATTAACCCTCATTGACTATATATATATTACACTCATTTCATAATCAATTACCATTTAAATATATTTTAAATATTATGCTCATTAATATCTTTCACCTGATAACATAACCGATCCTGCCAGTCCACATCGGTCTCCCCCGTGATAAGGCCTCTACAAATAATATAGTAATATTTAGAAGAGACGCCACAGAACTACAGAGTACATTACATTTCTCAGGAACAAAGATAAGAGTGCTCAGAACAATTATTTTTTTATGTTTTGTATAAGAATTATACAACTAAAATACTAAAATTTTTATTATAATTAGTCTCGTTACTAAATTATGCTTTAAATTAAGAGAATTTATATATTTTTCCTTCGCCGCGTGAGTACAAAAGAAAGTCTGTTAGCTTTTCACTTAAAAGTTAAGTAACTACACTGTTATTAAAAGTTATTTGCTTATATTTTGTCTCGTAACAATTTTATACACTTTGTTCACGTAGGAAATAAAGTAATCAGAACTTACTGAAAATAAAATTTTAAGTGTAAGTGATCACTATAGATCATGTAAAAAAACACGAACGCACGTAGCACCCGCGTTTCGCCGAGATTAAATTTAAAAAATGTTCGTCATTTTTCCTCCTACTATTACATTTATCTCATTACAATTAAAGCAAACACTTATCGTTACAGCCTATTAAGTAGTCTACTGTTGAACATAGGCCTCCCCCATATATAACTTTTTTTTCTTTATAAAAAGAATATTGACAATGCTACAAACATTACTAATATTCCCCTTAACCACTCGTGGTAAGCTTAAATTGCTTGTGTTACGAGTGGTTCACGCCAGTAGTCGAATGCGGATTCGAACCCACGACCTTTTTGAGTTCGCTGTCCGCGCCCTGCCATTAGGCACTGCCGCTTCAACTATGCGGTATATGTGCCATAGTTGTGTACAATGTGCAACTGTGTAACAAGGTACGTGTACTAGGTACTGGAATGATATACAGTTTAGGAATGACAATCTAAAATCGATTAATCGATTACTTGTTCGAGAAAAGATCTACATTTAAATCGATATTTAGCAGTGAATCGATATTTCACCCTAGAAATTAAGATTCAATTGTTTCTGTTTTGAGATAAAACATAAAATTATTTACAATTAGCAAAATGTACCCAAACTGTAAAAAAAAACAGTTTTTCGCTTAATTATTGGAAAACGAAAAGGCTGTGTGCTTAGTTTCTTTCGCCTCTTCTTAATGAGTTAATAAATAAAAAATTAAAAGAAAACATTGATTTAATTGACCTTTTACATTTCGATTTATTTGTGATTCGATTCATTAGATTTCGATTCAAATCGATTTAAAATCGATCTTGGCTCAGCTTTCCATTGACGTCCATCGAGTTAGGGGTTGATATTTATTACATAAAGGATACGTTATTAACATTGAAACAAACAAAACGCCTCCGAACATTGAAACTTTGCGTGTGTGCTTAAGCACTTTTTTCACAAAATTTCAATGTTCGGAGGCACGCACTTTTTGAGAAAAATTATTGAAAATCGATTACTTTTGCAATATTTATGTCAAAATCTACTTACTACAGATTATATCAAATTCTCGGCATTGAACTTTCCGTTTTACGTACGGTTAAGTTGCCATATGTCCGGTAACATTTCATTTTATATAAATTTACGTAAATAATTATATCTTGTACTCATTTTAATAGTTTTCATGCATGCACATATATTTAACAGTTTATATTAAATTATATAATTATTTTCATTACGAGCTATTAAAATTAAAATGTACAGTGTTTACCGTCTTTTGCCGGCTTGAACGAACCGTAAAACTGATGCTTTCCAAGAATGTAAAGCAATACAGTATGCTTATAAAATTGATTAATAAATTCTTAATTATATTTGATTTGTTTTATTTTAACAGTACCTATTAGGGCAGATAACAAATAAAATAGGCTGGGATCAACTTACGTCAAAGAACCGAATTGATTGATCCCGACTCCACCCGGTACGAGTCTTTCTTATCCCTAGAGTGTTTTTATAGAGCCGGAGGCGCGTAGGGAGAGTAGCCTCCGCCTGCTGAAACAAATCGTAGGCAACGGTTGAGCCGGAGCGGCTGAGGTTGGTCACCGAAAGCGAGCAACAAGCCAAAGCTGCGGGGGCGAGAATGGATACCTGCTATTTGTTACTCAAAGGCGTAGAGGCTACTCTTCCCGGAGCGCCGGAGACGTTGCAGTCTCAAAATAGATACAGAAATCCTTCTGAATCAATCGTCTTATTTTTTTCTGATTCTGATCTGGGGGTTTCTCCCTACCGTAGTACACCTCCCCCATCTTCCTCTCACCCTCAATTCGACGGACGTCAATGGCAATTAGTACCTTAAAAATAACACTTCCCAAGTCTAGTCGCCACTTACGACAGGCATGGAATGATGTGGATATGTGGATACACCGCCACTACATAATTATTGATAATTTCTCAAAAAACATTTAATTTATCGACAACATCTTGCAATCGTCGTTTCTCTAGCGTTCACTTGACCTTCATACAAATGAGCCGATTAGGGCTGATATTTCAATTATTGATCATTTTTTATTTTTAGATAAGAGAGCATAGTAAAATTAATTACCAAATTTTTAAAAACGTTATTTTAGCTTTATTTTAAAACATATTGTTATTGATAGGTACAATGTAGTGGCCTGAGATTTATTTTCGAAATATTTATTCTATGATTTATCAAATTCCAAAAAAGAAAGTAGCGTAATAATTTTAGGTCTATGGATTCCGACGTGAAATTCAGGAGCTACATACATACCAACATAAAATACCCCTTTTAGAATACGCCGAATAGGGTAAAAAAACTAGTTATAATAGTTAAAAATTCAAGAAACATAAATTTTCAAACCTGCTTTTATGTGGAGACTCTAGCTGCAGAAACACGGACTTGATAATTAGTATCCGCTCAGCTTGAAACGACATGACGGTTTCGCCTATGTCGAGGTTTGTTCGTACCTGTTGGAAAAAAGATAACAATTACAAGAATACAGTAACATAATGGTCTGATTTTCAAATGCATAATCGTGATAACAATCCACGTAACGGTTACAAAGTCCCAAAAAATACACAAGGTCTCTCCATTAATATGTTTAAAAATTTTATTATCTAAAAACTTTAAAAAGGGTTATTATAATATCCCCGTAGAATAAGTAGGTCACTTCCAAGATATTGTTGGTACATAGCGACATTAGTTACCACTAGCGCCCTCTAATATCGCGTAGCAGAACTATGAGGTGTCAATTTTGGTAATTCAACCGGCAATTTTTATTGTTATGAACCCCAAGTTCTTAACAATACGTTTTGTAAATAATTTGTGCAACCTGTGTTTTAAGGTATAATTTTACTTCGAAAATGTCCCACTGGGCATCTAGTTGGTTCTTCCCATCCCAAGAAAATTTCTGACTGGGAGAATGTATGGAAGAAGAAAGTGCTCCACGGGAGGTTCTTCGAAACTCTACATAAGCCTTTCACATATGATAGGATATGTGATAGGTATCATTGGGAAAACAGATAAATTTGCCTGTACGATACAAGATCAGATTAATTAGACCTATAACTATCGGAGATATATCCAAGCGATGGCATCGTCGACTTCTGTCGACAGCTTTTTGCCGTCGTGGTGAGTCTGTTAGGCATATCATATTAGTTTGTTCGGTGCTTTCCAACTTTGAGTATTTACACAGACCATGATTCTACACCAGGAGCTTGCTCTTGAGACCGCCTCTCGAGTTATCTTAAGCGACTAAGATTCCGTGAAGCTCTGGGCTCAAACGCAGATGACAGTGCTCCTCGATACAGCCCGCATCGTCCGCCGGTTTCTTTCCCTTTCTACCTAACTCTTGACCGTTTTGTCTACTCTACCGAGGGCTTCCTTCTGTGTAGGTTTTTCTTTTATTGATAAAAATTTGAACCAGATAAAAAAAATTATACATACTCCAGATAATAAGAAATATAATTTATTGTAAATCATAGACAAAAATTACAAAAATAAATGAATTGTGAGTCTTAATAAGTCAGGCGACCTTATCCCTAAAAGCGATCTTTGCAGACAACATTTTATTGATATCTATCATTGATATGAACCTTGATTTCATTGATAACTTGATTAGGAATATGCCAAGGAGACTGAAAGCAATTCACAGAGCTAGAGTTCGCGCCAATGAGTACTGATAGCTGACTGATAGCCTTTCCTAAGCATTTATGAAAAAAAAAATGAATAAAATGTTAAGTATATAAGTGTTTTTTTTTTCTGTAACGTTTTTCTTTTTACTTCATTTGGATTGTATTTGTCATTTGATTGTTTGTTTTTTTTTGAAGTATCCAATTTTAAATTAACGAATAATAAGTAAAATCCAAATTAATATGCATTGTCTCAAATATCCATGATTATTTGTTTTACACTCTCTTCTTGCGCTTCTTTAAATTTGTCCGAGAGAGTATTCTAACCTATTCATCATCATCATCATCATTACAGCCCTTCACAAGTCCACTGCTGAACATAGGCCTCCCCCAAGTAATGCCACAAAGCACGGTCCTGAGCCACCTGCATCCATCGACTTCCTGCATGTCTTACCAGGTCGTCACTCCATCTAGTGGGGGTCGCCCTACACTACGCCTACCGGTACAGAGGCTGCCACTTGAGAACCTTTCTTTCCCATCGGTTATCGGTTCTTCGAGCTATATGGCCGGCCCATTGCCACTTCAGCTTACTAATCCGTTGGGCTATGTCGGTCACTCTGGTTTTACTGCGGATATCCTCATTTCTGAGTCTATCACGCAGTGAAACTCCGAACATAGCCCTCTCCATAGCTCGCTGAGCGACCTTGAGCGTCCTCATACGGCCAGCGGTGAAGGACCACGTCTCAGATCCGTAAGTCATCACTGGCAACAAGCACTTTAGTTTTCAGAGATTTAGGTATACCTGACGAGAATAAGTGTCGTAATTTCCCGAACGCTGCCCAGCCGAGTTGAATCCGTCGATTGACCTCTCGGTCGAAGTTGGACTTACCTAGTCGGACTATTTGTCCCAGCTAAACGTACTCGTCAACAACTTCGAGCATAGTGCTCCCAACAACTACCGGCATAGGTGTGACATGGACATTAAACATGATCTTTGTTTTGTCCATGTTCATCTTAAGACCTATCCGTTGGGAGACACCATTGAGGTCATTGAGCATAGTGCTAAGGTCCTCCAGCGATTCTGCCATAAGGACTATATCGTCGGCAAATCGAAGGTGAGTGATGTACTCGCCATTGATGTTAATACCGTATCCTTTCAGTCCAGTAGCTTGAAAACCTAACTTTTTCTAACCTATTGTATACTATTAATAACAAGTTTTTTTTGTAATATTACTGATTTGCCTTTGCAAAAATTCAAGGCGCATTTAAAAGTGTTCATATAAAGCAAGGATATTTTAAATTTGTTATTTATTTAAACATATAAGAATGATTGGATATAATGAAATTCCTTACACTTTTTGACTAGTGTTATATAATATATTTTAGGCAACAGTTGCAAAAATAATAGTCTACTCATAATTTTCTTGTAGTTTCTTCTATCAAGGTCTCCTGCACTAGGAACCCTTGTTGAAGCTTTGGCGTAGCTTTTTTGATTATCAAAGTGTTTTTTAAAGACCATTAATCTCTATATATAAAAGTCAATTGCTGTCCGTTAGTATCTAGTAGTAGATTTGGCTGATTTTCTTTCATGCCTGCAATTCGAACAGAAATCAATAAAAAGACTTTGAACAGTTCATTTTTTCCAATAACTAGCGATTAGATATTATTTCGACTTTCATTTCAGGGAAGAAGAAGTGCCTGAAAATAAAGGCTAAGTGTAATTATAATTCGATGTGAGCAAAAGCTGAGCTTTCATATAACCTACATTTTATAAAATCCGTAGTGTGCCGTGGGTGGCGTAAGAGGAGACAAAAGGAAACTGAAACAGGAAATTGGCACCAGTATCTTTCTGATAACAACACAGAATAATAAAAAAACTGTGGTTGCTAACCTACTTGAGGTTGCATACCTCAGTTTGCCAAGTGAGGCAACTACCATACCATCTCCCGTATGAGGCAATCGAAGGGAATGTATTTTTAGTACCGAACTTTTGATATAGAGACTGATATAAATGAATGAATAATGTGAATGATGATTTACGTTTGGTTACCGTTACCGTTACAGCTTATTTAAGTCTACTGATAAACTTAGGCCTCCCCCATAGATTGCCTCATAGGGGGATATTTGCCATAATTACCACACTTGTCTAGGGAGTTGGCAATCGCAGTCTTTTATTTTTATCCGATATTAGGACTACGCTGCTGCCTATCTCCTGAATTGTATCCCTCTGTCGTCTCTTACGACGCCCACAGGATGATATGGCTAATGTATATTCTTATACCTCCACTACACGGTTTGGTTTAAATTATTTGAACTTAATGAAATGTATGAAAGATAGCGTTCAATAGACATAAACTGTCAGAAAAAATAGTCGTTTCCAATTCGGATCCTCGGATAGTCATTTTTTTTTTAAATAACTAAACACTTAAAATACTGTCAAAAGGTGGTAGAAGTCAGTTTTTGATCCAGGATCCATCCCCGTAGGTACTACCCTTACCTTTACCTAATTCCACTCAGCAGCGCTTGCACTACTTCGTTCCAGTGTTGTTAAGTGTATAAAGAGCCAGTATAGTTACAAGCTGTGAGGTATTCTGTCTTAGTTTTCAGAGGTGACCATAGATAATATACTATATATGGCATATATGAGCCACTCTAACAAATTAAATGACGATTATAAAATTAGATGACAAAGCGAGGGAAGTTTTATCCACGCTGTCATAAATGGCGTTGGGATTGTAAATTACCGAAAAATACACTAGAGAAGACGCTATCAACTTGCTTTAGTATTATAAACGTATATCGTACATATTAATAAATTTAAAAGGATATGTTATTAAAAGAAAAGTTGCTAATTTGCGTTACATATATTAATCATGAAGCTTCTTTTAATAATCCATGGTTTAAATCAGAACCATAATGTTTAGAATTATTGTATATATATACCGCAATTAAAACTTTAATGGCGTGATTTAGAGATAAATGTCAGCAGTGACGCCATCTTTTGAATACAACGTATAAATAAGTGGGAAAAATAATGCTAAAAGCACTGACTGTGAGATATCGCTAGTACCAATGTTAAAGTAAGCTACTAAGGACTTTCATGGAGGTGACATCGCAATTGTAGACTTCTTCGTTTGAAATTAGCTACAGGCGTCCATGGACTGCAGTAACCACTTACCATCAAGCGGACTGTAAGTTCGTTTGTCACTTCATTTTATATAATATATGACTGCCTCGTTGGTCTAGTGGTTGTAGTAGTGCGACTGCTGATCATGAGGCCCTGGGTTCGAATCCCGGGTCGGGCCAAAAATCAATTATTGAGTTTTTCCGTAAAGAAATTCTCAGTAGCTGCCCGAAGTCAGTAAATTGGCAGTGTCTCACCCCCGTGCCTCGGAAAGCACGTAAAGCCGTTGGTCCTACGCCTGATCTCTCTCCGGTCGTGTCGGTTTACCGTCCCATCGGATTATGAGAGTGAGGGAATAAAGAGTGCACCTGTGCTTGTGCATACACTTGGGCACTATAATCCTGTCCTGCCGCCGATGGCTAGTCTCCGTTGAGGCTGGCCGCCGTGACCGAAATTCGGTCTGGAGGACATTATTATTATATAATATATTAAAAAGTACTAGAAGAAAGCAAATTAAATAAATAAAGTAGCCCACCTCAGAATCTAAATATAACGAAGCATCCAAGGTACTTGACAGTTGCGCCATAGTTGTGCAGTTCTGCAGTATTAGTGCCACGTGAGGGACGAAACAGAGTGCCAGCAACTGGATTAGGAGTTTCCGACGCCCATGCCTGAAAAAAACAGGTAACCTTAAATCTGGATAGTAACGAAATATACTTTTTAGGTAAAACAGCAGGTGTCATCGTGCACATTTAAAGTTGGAAGTGTTACTTCACGAGATTTAAGCGCGCAATATGGCATAATATTTCATACTTATTAATATTTCAAACTCACACATTAATAATATAACATTTCCGTAACCATGATAAACAAATATAATGAATAATGATCTTTCCCAAGGATATTTCTAAAGATTTTGTTATAGGCCGCTTATCATATTTATGGCGTGATCGTCTTAGTTAGGACACTTATTTATGTTGTGTTTGTTTAGTAACTTAGTTCTGTTAGGTTTCTCTTGGAAGAATGAATATTCACCAGAGCGGTCGAAAGATGTTGAATGACCACGCTCTCACAGAATACCAGCGTGAATAGCAGCTTAAATGCTGCTGTGTTTCGTATGGTGAGTGTAGAGAACCGGAGACCCGTCTTTACTGGAATCGAGGCATTCCATCTTAGTCCTCAGGGGTGACAGCGCATCTGCATTTTAATTCTTAATCGGGGTTAAAAGTAGATGTTTATTAGCCACAGCATCCACTTACCATCAGGTGGACTGTGTGCTCGTTTATCACCCTTATTCTATAAAAAAAATGTTGGTTTCATACCGTTCAGGAAGAACGGGATCATAAAAAGTTTAAGAACGTTAAATTGTCCTTATTCCACCTGTGTCAGGTTCACAGCACTAATTTTCATATTTATTAATCTCTTCTCGCTTGGAAAGGGCTCACAATATTTGTATAAAATACCCGATACAATGGCTTCGATTTCCCTCATTAAAAAAATGTAGGGTAGACACACAGCTCTACACATGCCGTGTGGGATGCGCGCCAACCAACAAGCTCTTAGCCGCAGAGCGTGTCATGAGTCTACCGCTCACCTCTAGGGAATGGTGTCCCACGTTAAAAGGCTTTCAGCCGCAGCCTTGAGAATCTCCTACCGCCTTCCAAATATTTTTTTTTATTTCATAGACCTTACTATTATGTCTATTATACATGGAACTTCCATTCACAACATTGTTATTATAATGTTTATGCATCTAAAAGACCTTCTACATTGATGCTTTTGTATCATAGACCTAATATCATAAGTCTCAAATATAGTACTTTAGTAGTTAGGCATCTGACAACCCCATATATATGTGTAAACTCCTTTATAAAAGCAATCATTACATAAACACCCTCCAGCCATACAGGAATACGCTCAATTTTTGACTTTTTTGACTAATTTTCCAATAATACTACAAATGTTATTTATCTTTATTATTGCAATATAATGGACTTTTATTTCTATTCTTTAATACATTTTGCATATTTTTAACAGAATTTTAATACATTTAATGTTTTTTAAAGAAAATATTAAGCATTTACTATCATACAGCATGCATGTTAAAAATAGCATGTTAAAAATGAATGTATCTCAAACTTATGCTCATTAATTCATTTTAATTGTTTTAAATATTACTTTTAAGATATTTTTAGAGAGCTTTAAATTAATTACTTTTTATTATTAATAATAACGCGACTTTACAGTTTCAATTATCATACATCATATAAGTCGCTTACAACATTTAATACACGATGTCACTGTGCTTGTCGTACGTCATCAGGGACACTTTTATGTAATAAGCTCCAATGCAAATTATAATTTATCAGGATATTGTAGTGACGACGTGACGGTCTAACGGGGTTCGAACTAAACTCGCTCGTAGCACATTTTGTTAAGCCGCAGCTCAATTTGAGTTAGGTCATTTTTATATCTAGGAACGCTTTAATGTTTTATTTACGTCCACTAGTCAAAATCGTGAAAAACTCAACAAATTCTAAACTAATCTACTAATTAATATACAATAAACAGCTAATTTCTAGACTATTGTCTACGCCTTTCCCCACGCCATGTCATATTTTATTTATATAAATGGATCAATGAACTACCTATGTGTTGGCAAAAGTGCATAGATAACAACGGTGCATACTTTGATTCATTAAATATATTTTACAAAAAAAATCGACTTTATATTCCTCCCGACAGAACGCCAATTTCATACGTAAGGACCTATTACAAGATGTAAAATACTTAGATGGACGACGAGAATGAGCGTCAAAGGTCCGTGACTTCTTTTTAATATAGAATAAGGGTGACAAACGAACACACACAGGGTCCAGTGTTGGTTGCCTTCACACGTCTTTGAATTAATTTCATTATTTAGATATGCAGGTTTTCTCAAGACATTTTCCTTCACCGCGCACGTACTAAATCATGATCGGAAATTGCAATTACCAATGTGATTAGTACCAGCGGCTATCGCAACCGGGTGCTTCAGATTTATGAAATTTACAGCAGGCGCTTAGCTCCTGAGGGGCTCCACAACTTAGAAAATAGTAAAGCCTTATTATTAAAAAATGTTACACAACCTGAACATAAACTAATTTAAAAGGAATAATCTCAATCCAACAAGTGTAATACTCTTTACCTGAGAAGGAGTTTCCTTATTATAACAGAAGTTAATATCAATAATGTAACATTTCAGAAAATAGCTTAACCTAATTGTGACTGTGATAAATTTTTTTATAGAAGAGGGGCAAACGAGCATGCGGCTCGTCTGATGTTAAGTGACTACCGCTGCCCACGATCAACATGTGCGTCAAATTGCAGGTGCGTTGCCGGCCCTTTAGAAGGGAGTAAGCTCTTTTCTTGAAGGTCCCCAGGTCGTATCGGTCCGGAAAAATCGCCGGTGGTAAACTATTCCACAGAGAGGTTGTACGCGGAAGAAAACTCCTTTTGAAACATAACGTGGTGGACCACCAAGCATCCAGATGGTGTGGATGGTATCGGGACGTTTGCTGCGTAGTGCGTTCACGAAATTTGGCGGTTGGGATTAATCCGAACAATTCCTCAGAGCACTCTCCATGGTATATGCGAAAGAAAATGCAAAGAGATGCAACATCTCTTCGCAGTGCCAGTGAATCGAGCCGATCGGAAAGCACTCGTCGTCAACGATTCGAGCCGCTCTGCGCTAGATGCGGTCAAGTGGAAGGAGCTGGTACTGGGGAGCCCAGCCCAGAGATCGGAACAGTATTCCATGTGCGGCCAAACCTGCACCTTGTAAAGTTGCAGGCGGTGTGCCGGCATGAAATACTGTACCGCTCTGCTGAGCACGCCAAGCTTTTTAGAGGCCAATTTGGCCTTCTCTTCCAAGTGACCACGAAACTGCACGTCACTCGATATATCGACGCCGAGGATTCCGATACAAACAACAGACAGATGACTTTTCAAAACTGGTATTTATTTCTAACTGCATGTATAGCCAAGGTAACAATATTTATTTTTATAGTTTTAGATTTAGTAGGTAATTAAACTACATTACTTCTGTACTTTTGTACTAACCGTGTAGTGGCGTGGCGCTTTAAGAATATCCACTACCCCATATCGTCCCGAGGGTCTAAGAGGCGTCAGAGGAAAAATGAAATAGATGGGCAGCTGAATCTTCCTGGTAATAACTTAAAATAATAAAAATACTGTTGTTTCCAACCCGCTAGCCAAGCGTGGCAACTACGACCAAACTATAGTCATGAGGCATCTATGAGGGAGGCATATGTTCAACAGTGGACTTTTATAGGCTGAAATCGGTGGATGGATGATTTCATACTGGGTAATATTTTTAACGCGACAGTCTGACACTGAAATATACAATTCGATAGGACGGCTCAAGTATCGTTTGTCTATGGAATTACTCCTAATAGCAAAGTTTTAAGAACAATACGAACGTATAACTTAAGTAACAAGTAAACTTAGTCAGCAAAGATTAGAACTATCGCCAATGTTAAACAACGAGATAAGATTTTTGTTTTACTTATTTTTATTGTTTACTCATATTCATGAAATTTTGCAATGAGGAAACAGTATTTTTAAAACAACATTTTTGTAATCCCGTAAAAGGAAGATAATTAGAGTATTTTTTTTAAGTTAAATTGTAAAATAAATTGTGTAGTGTCTCAGAGAAAAGTTTATAGGTAAGGTAAAGTAAAAGCCTTATACATTCTTTCTATAGAGGATTTTGAGGCAATGGAGTGGGTATCTTTTATCTATATCTATACATATAATAAATCTGTAGAAAATCTTGTATGTAATTCTAATATTTTCTTGAAACCAAGGGGACTATATATAAGGGGCACTGAAGCCAAGTTAGTGCTTTTTAGATTTTTTGTCTGTCTGCGTATTCAAGATTGACATAACAAAAACTACTGATCAAAATTCCATGTAATTTTGTGTGTAGGTATTTAGAGACCCAAGGCTAGTAAGTAGCTATAGGCTACTTTTTATCCGATTGCGGAACTTTAAAAGAGAAGGGTTAAGTATTTTTCTTTATTTAGATGTTAATTTCTATTTTATACGATTAACGTGTTTCATTAAAATAAATTAAATATTTATAGATAAAGCCCAAACTTAGTGTAACCGTTGCGTAGTTATTTGAACTATGGCGACAATCTACGATATTACTGTTGTATTCACTTTTTCAAGACAATGCCATCTAAAGTAAAATACAAAAATTGGTGACATTTTGCCTTTAGTTACTAATAAAATAAATAATTTAAAAAACCTACATTTATATACTTATTTTACATTTTTAGTTAATTTTAGTAGATATAAATAAATTTTATAGTAACTAATTACTATAATTTAAATATATAATAGTGACATCTATACTAGAATATATATATATATATATATATATATATATATATATATATATATATATATATATAATAAAATACCGATATTTCAATATTTTTTACCCAAGCCTATCGACAAGTTGCAGATCGCACTTTCATAAATGTCGGATTATTTCATAACCCAATAGTTGAATACAACTACGTAGTATACAAATATATTATAATCGATTGATATAACCAGAGTTTATTTAAAAATAGTTTCAGATAATAATTGGGTGCACCAA